GTGAAGACCAATGCAAAGAATTCATTTAACTTCTCCACAATGGTCTTGTCTTACTTTAATGCTCCTTTAGCACCTCAATCATCCAGTGGCCCCACTGATTGTTTTGCAGGCTTCCTGCTTCTGATGTACTTTAAAAATTTTGCTGTCAGTTTTTGTGTCTTTTGCTAGTTGCTCTTCAAATTCTTTTTTGGCCTGCCTCATTAAACTTTTACTTGACTTGCCAGCGTTTATGCTCCTTTCTGTTTTCCTCAGTAAGATTTGCCTTCCAAGTTTTAAAAGATATCATTTTTCTTCTAACCACCTCTTTTTGTCATGGTGGCATTTTTTGGTCCTCTTACTTTTTTTAAATTTTGGATATACATTTAGTGTGAACCTTTATTATCGTGTTTGCAGGCATTTCATTCTTATGACAGTTTCTTTTCATTTCTCTTTAATTGGTTCCTTTGTCATTTTCCCCCACTACAAGGATATTAAATTTAATTACATTATGGTCACATTTGTACTTGCTACATTTGTAGCTTAACTGGCATGCCACTTTCTGATGTGAAATTTTCCTGGAGGGATACAGAGATTTGGCTTGTCATGTAATCACAATTGAATATGCAACACAAACTCTCATAGTGCATGCTGTATATATCATGGAATCATAAAAATTTAAGGCTGGAAGGTACCTTGAGAAATCATAAAGTCCAGTCCCCAGCACTGAGGTAGGACCAAGTAAACCTATACCATTCATAATAGGTATTTGTCCAACCTGTTCCTAATCCCGGTAATGGGGATTTCACAACCTCCATTGGAAACCTGTTCCAGAGTTTAACTATGTTTAGAATTAGAAAGTTGGCAAGTAAAGCAGGGCAATTATTTCATGTGTGTTGCATACTCATGTTACTACACCCTAAAATGATATTAGCTTTTTTCACAACTGCTTCACATTGTTGACTCTCATTAAATTTGTGATCCACTATAATCCCCAGATACTTTTCAGCAGTACTACCATCTAGTCAATTATTCCCCATTTTGTAGTTGTACATTTAATTTTTTTCCTAAGTGCAGGACTTTGCACTTGCCTTTACTGAATTTAGTCTTGTTCATTTCAGACCAATTCTCTAATTTATCAAGGTTGTTTTGAATTCTAATCCTGTCCTCGAAAGTGCTTACAGCGCCTCCCAGCTTGGTGTCATCCACAGATTTCATAAGCGTAGTCGCCACTTCATTATGCAAGTCATTAATGAAAATATTTGATAGTACCGGACCCAGCACTGACCTACATGGGACCTCACTAGATATGTTCTCCCAGTTTGATAGCAAGCCATTGATAACGACTCTTGGATTACACTCTTTCAACCAGTTATTCACCCACCGTATAGTAATTTCACCTAGGCCACATTTCTCTAGCTTCCTTATAAGAATCTCATGCCATTTCATGATTTGTATGTCTTAGATTTAACTCATTTGACAACAAGCTGTTTGGAATTAATGATGTAGAAGCTGAGCGCATGGATCCTCAACAAAAGTTACTCTTGGAATGCACGTACAGAGCCCTGGAGGATGCAGGAGTCGCGATGGAACATGCC